ACCTTTACTTGAGACAATCACCCTTCCTCCCCACAGTAATATGCCATCCTCTACAGTGATCTGGTCTCACCAGTTCCAGAAAGGATAAATCCTGGTTGTGATGGCCCTTCTGTTTCCCCCATTACCAGCAGCTATTTTAGTTTTGCTAGGACACGATCTTTTCATGTTCACAGTTTGATATTGTCAGCGGTGACTGGAAGGCTGTCCAGAAGTTTAAAACCAAACCAGTGGAGTGCCAGTCGGAGACAGCTGAGGGCATCCACATTAACACTTGGCTTCCCAGACAGTGCTCTAACTTGTACTTGTACACACTGAGAATAAAGACCCACCGCTGAATTCTACCAGAAGCTATGGGTGGCACTTGTCTTCCTTCAATAGCTCTAGCAGGGGTTTGTGAGCTGTTACTGTGACAAATTCCTGTCCGTAAAGATACTGGTGGAACTTCCTCACACCAAAGATGACCGCCAAATCTTCCTTCTCTATCTGGGCATATTTGCATTCAGCATCAGCCAAAGTCTGGGAAGCATATGCTATTGGGCGTTCCTCTCCATTGGGCCGCCAGTGAGCCAACACCCGATACTGTAAGGGGAGGCATTGCGTGTCAGCGCCACCTCTCGCTTTGGATCATAGAGGGCCAACACCTTAGCTACATTTTCCACTTCCCTAAAACTACTTCTTAGCTATGCAACCATTTCCAAGGCTGACCCTATTTCAATAGCCAGTGTAAGAGTGCCAAAATGGAGGACAGGTAATGTCTGAATTTTCCATAATATTTCACTAACGCAAGGAAAGACCCAAGTTTCCCATGCAAGGGATTGGGCATTTATCCGGCTGTGAAAAGTGGATTACTGTTTGTTTAAAATCCCCACAAAGGCAAACCGACCTGTCAGGCTTCAAAATCAATATGACCAGAGCTGCCCATTCTGCAAACTAGACTGGTTTGAGGATTTCAGAGATAGTAGGAACTGCAGATGCTGGAGAATCTGAGATAACAAGGTGTAGAGCTGGATGAACACAGCAGGCCAAGCAGCATCAGAGGAGCAGGAAGGCTGACGTTTAGGGCCTAGACCCTTCTTCGGAAATGCATCGTTATCTCTGGTTTGAGGATTTCTTTGCTCTCCAGCCTCCTGATTTCTACCTCTACTTTTGCCTGCAAGGCAAAAGGTACTAGATGGGCCTTGCAAAATTGTGGAATTGCTTCCTGGTCATCATGTAAAATCACTTTGGCGCCTTTGATAGTCCCAAGCCCTTCCTGAAAGCTCCTGGGTATTTCATTAGGACTTCACTGATGCATCCATTTTCTTACAGAAAAATGTTAGCCAGTCCAGGCGAACCTTTCAACCAATTCCACTCAAGCCTCTTACCACCATCAGCAGTAACTGTACCAACTACTTCTCAAAGGAGACTGGAACTGAAGTAGTACCCTTAAACTACAATAGTTCCTCTGTGTATGTTCTCAGTTTGGCTGAGGTCTTGCGCAAACTTAAGGATTGGAATCCCGAGCAAAACTTGTTAAAGACAGATTCTGCAACCACAGACACAGCTGCACTGGTATCAACCTCCACAGGAACTGAGTGACCATTTAACCAAGCATTAATTTTAAATCAGTTCTGATTTGGATGTCGCAAAGCAATTTAATTGTTCCAACCCACATGACTTTCCAGGGTGTGCACTCTGCTGGGTGCCAGCCTACGAGTTTTCTTACTCAAGTCAGGCCTTGTAGGACTCCTTTGTTGTCTCAAGTCCGCATACTGTCAGCAACTGCAATATCTTGCCGGCCCAGATCCAGAAAAACTTTTTAGCCACTTGGCCAAGACTCTGCTTTGTTGTGGGGTTTCTGCTGTGGGCTGGCCTAGGGTCCCTCTGCTCAGGATATGCCCTGCATGAGGCTCTGCAATTGACTATATTAGAGTGGTGTTCCCCGAGCTCAGTTGGACAGATGAGGGTATCCATTTCCATTGGGAAGTCCTGTAGTTCCCATGATCCACTTGCCATATTTTCTAATGACAAAGCCAGTTGTAGTGCCTTGTTTGCAGTCCAGTTGGGCTTCTGCATGGTTACATCATTAATCCGACATACCAAACAGCCTCCTAGCATCTCATTCAGGGTTAACCCAAAAATCACATGCCCCTGCCAGTCATCTTAACCTCATCAAAAAAAACCAAAATCCCCCCAGTTCCCTAACAGCTGAATAAAGCCAATAGCATCTCACAATTAGTGGTGGTTTGGGGTTGTAATATTCCTTAATGAACTCCATCAACCCTTGCAAGGTTTTAGTGTCTGGTGCCTCTGGGAAAGCTAAGCCCCTTTATAGCCAAAAATGCTGCATACATAAGCAGTCAGAAGGATGACTCATTGCTTTTCATTTGCCTGGAAGATGTATCACATTTATTCCACATATTGGGCCCAGTCTTCAATAGCAGGATTGAACAGGTAAATCTTCCCAAATAAAGACATAATGCCAGAAATGCTTACTCCAACTCTAAGATGACTGTTGCAAGCACACAGTATTTTTTTCCTCATCACCACTGGAATAATTGCAGAGGCCAGTATCTTGTCACCAAGTCACCCTTTATTTACTCATGCATAGTGCACTTGCTGTGGCCAACCAGCTCAGAGTCCATCCCCTGAACTGAGGAGATTGTAAATCCCCTGTTAATATTGGTCAGGCAGGGCTTCCTGATTGGCCTAGGTTAACAACCCTAATCAAGGATATTGTAGTTAACATGATCCACCTGGTTCCAATCCCTACACATTGGTAGGGTAGACTGGAAGAAGCATTTCCCTTTGGTGGGATCAGTGACTGGAGTCATAGATTCAAGGTAAGAAGCAGAATATTTAGAGGAGATGTGAGGAAATACGTTTTTTTATCTAGAGGGTGGTGGAATCTGGAACTTGTTGCCAGTGAGGGTGGTAGAAGCAGGAGCCCTCATAACATTTAAGAAATATTCAGATGTGCACATGTGATGCTAAGGCATACAAAGCTATAGACCAAGTGCTGGAAAATAGAAGTAGAATAGTTTGATGGTTGTTTTGACCAGCAATGCAATGGGCCCAAACGCCTTTTTCTGTGCTGTAGATCTCTACGACTGTATGAACCACGACCACCTGACATCATGCTAGCCCTAATCAGCAGTCCTGCCTGAAAAACAGAACTCACAATTACAACAAGCAAGGTTGCCAACTCTGACTAGATGTGTTTTCCTGGAGGTTTTATCACATGACCTTATGCCTCCCACCATCCACCAATCAAACAGCCTTTTGCTCCTTAATGTTCAGTCTTTCATTAGCTGTTCAACAAAAATTATCTAAGAAAATGAAAAAAAAAATCAATTTTTTTCTCTCACTCTTTATATATTTTGTCCTGGCTAGCTTTAAATAATGTCCATGCATTGTGAATTTCTGGAATCTCCAAGACATAGTCTGGAGAGTTGATAACTTGATTTTGAGCAACAGATGGAATGGACCTGTGACGTTTGTTAAACCTGAATTTTTCTCTATGTATGCATGAAGTCTAGATAGCCACAGTCCAATCATCTTTACAGAAAGAAGTAAGTAACATTTCTCATAGGAACCCTCCTAAGACAAATAGCTAATTCACATAATCAACAAGTCTCCCAACTCTGACTACCCTGAGGAGTTCCTGGAGCTGAGATGAGTGACCTCCAGCAACCACAACCATCTTCCTGCAGAACAGGGAGACTCCAAAAAGTAGAGTTTTTGCCTTGATTCCTATGGATTCCAGTTTTACTAGAGTTCCTTGACACCACATGGTCAAATGCTGCTTTGATACTAAGGGCTGAGACTCTCACCTCACTTCTGGAATTCAGCTCTTTTTTTTCCATGTTTGAACCAAGGCTGTAATGAGGTTAGGAGCAGAGTGGCCCTTGTGGAACCCAAACTGGGTATCGCTGAGCAGCTTGATAGCACTGTTGATGACACCTTCCATCACTTTACTGATGATCAACAGTAGACCGATGGGGCAGTAATTGGCTGCTTTTTTGTGTACAGCCCATACTTGGGCAATTTTCCCACACTGTCAGGTAGATGCCAGTGTTTTAACTGTATTGGAGTACCTTGACTAAATGTGTGGCAAGTCCTGGAGACAAGTTTGTAGGACTAATAAGAACATTGCCAGGGTCCACAATTTTTGCAGTCACCGATAAATCTGTACTTATGATGTCTTCAGCCATTGTTTGATATTCTGTGGAGTGTATAGATGAAGACCAGCAGTTGTGATATTAGGGAATTCTGGAGGAGGCCAAGACTGACCATCTACTTGGCACTTCTGGCTGAAGATTGTTGTAAATGTTTCAGCCTTATCTTTTGCTCCTGGGGTCTTGAGGATGGCGATATTTGAGGAGTTTCTTCTCTAGTGAGTGCTTAATTTCCACCACCATACATATCAGGCTGTGGCAGGCAGCATTCCTTCTAATTTTCTATCTGGCTGAACAGGCTCTCCAAAGTCTGTGCTTGGCAATGACTTCTGGGACCAGAAATTTTAGTTTTCTTTTATTCATTCACAAGATGCCAGTGTCGCTGGCTATTTATTACCCACACCCAATTTCCTAGTGAGCAGTTAAGAGTCAACCACATTGCTGTGTGTCTGGAATCACATGTATGCTTGACCAGATAAGGATGGCAGATTTCTTTCCCTAAAAGAGTGTTAGTGGACCATATAGGTTTTGCTGATGATTGTTTTATGGTCATCTTTAGGCTCCTAATTCAAGATTTTTATTGAATTCAAACTCCACTGTCTGCCATGCCAGGATTCAAGCCCTCAGTTCCCAGAACATTGTCTATAGACTAATTGTATAGCAATAATACCATTAGCGCATTGCCTCCCCATCCACGCTATTCTCTGTGTACCTTGCTGACTAGTACAGTTAAGCCAATCATTTTTAAAAATCATTTCCTCTTTTCAGCATCATTGTGTCTAATTGTCAGTTTGCTTGTTGCTGTCTAATTAACGTTTTTTTTTCTCTCCACTTCATGACCAGTCTTTCTCCAAGTGGCTCACTGCCCCCACGTTTTCAACAAGGTACAGAAATGTTTGTCAGCTTCTCTTTCATTTTTTGCTTAAAATCCTCATTGTCTTGTCAAGAAGTTGATTCCTAGTTTATTCATTGGAGTACTGAGGGAGGGCTGCACAAAAATAGTTCATGTAGTCCTGAGGTGGAAGGCACTGGATAAATGAAAGCTCTTATAAATTTTACAAATGTTAGGATTTAAAAAGGAATTGATTTAAATTGAATATTCAACAATTCTAACATCTATTTAAGATACAGTTCATTCGGGTGTAAACTATTACTGGATCAACAATTGGGGAAATAATTTAGCATCAAGATTTTCAGCAAATACCTGTAGCAATCATTTTATGAGGGGGAAGATTCTTAGGGATTTAATCATGGTAAAAACATAGAATTCTTCAAAAGCAAATCAAAACCAATCACTACAAACAAACCTGCTTCCTTTTTAATGATCATAGAATAGAATTATAGAATCCCTACTGGGTGGAAGCAGGCCATTGGCCCATAGAATCCCTACAGTGCGGAAACAGGCCATTAAGCCCACCAAGTCCACACCAACCCTCCGAAAAGCATCCCACCCAGTTGCATCCCCTTACCCTATCCCTATAACCCTGCATTTCCATGGCTAATCCACCTAACCTACACATCCCTGGACACTATTGGCAATTTAACATGGCCAGTCCACCTAACCTGCACACCTATGGCAGGAAACCAGACCACCTGGCGGAAACCCATGCAGACATGGGGAGAATGTGCAAATTCCACATAGGCAGTTGCTCGAGGCTAGAATCAAAGCCAGGTCCCTGGAGCTGTGAGGCAGCAGTGCTAACCACTGAGCCACCGTGTCGCCCTAAATTATGCTGGTCCCTGCTTAAGAAAATAATAGGCAAAAGATTGGAGCCCACTTTAGCAATTGATTTAAAACAGTAAACATCGGAATGACCACTCAAGTATAGACCTTGATTTATTGTTCCATTGACTCTACGTCTAAAAACCATTCAGAAATTGTAGTTTATGAAGGTCCTCTCTATGCAACAACCTACGTTCACAGAGCTCCTGTATTCAGTCTTTATCCATCAATTCTTTGCTGGCATTGCAACTGAAGACAGAGTCAGGCTCCTTGTGAGCAAGTGGTCAGTCAACGTTGTCATGACAATTATATGAATAAGAACTATTTGGAGGAAGTGTTGGAGATGGAAATATGAGCTAGCAAAGAGTCACCACCGTCTCAGGGTAGCAAGGAGAAGAACAAATGAGTCAGAAATACCACATCATGAGAAGAGCTTCATACAATACCTCAACATTTCCCCGAGATATTGGGAAGATGGACAAATTGCGTATGTAAGGAGGAGGCAGGAAAATGTGAAATAGAGGGCGTCCTCGATTTACAAACATCCAACTTACAAACGCTTGTATTCCTAAGTGCAAACCCAAACAGGGGTGTGAGAGTGGGCGAATATTTCCTGTACTTATGAACAGCTGCATTCCATTGCCCTGCAACTTGCATACAAATAAAATTGCAAACGGGCTGCTGAACAGAACTCGTTTGCAACCCGGGGACTGCCTGTAATGAATTTTAGAAACTGATTCTTGTCAAATGGCCATCACTGGTCATATTGCCATCTCCCCCTCTCTTGCCAGTTGCCTTTGAGAAGGTGGTGGTGAGTTGCTTTCTTGACCTGCTACAGTCCATGTGCTGTAGATACACTCGTTGTGCTGTTAGCAAGGGAGATCAGGTTTAGGAGTGTTTAGGCAGAGGAAAAAGAAGAAACCTTCCACTGATGGGAGGTTTGGTAACCAGAGCGTTCAAATTTATGGTCATAACATAAATTTATATAGAATGTGCAGCAAAAAAAAGACCATTCAGCACATCTGCTTCATGTTGGATGTTTATGCTACACTCCAGCCTCCCTTCACCTTTCTTCATGTCAACGTATCAACATATCCTTCTAATCTGTTCTTCCTTATGTGTTTTCCTAATTTTCCCTTTTTTGCATTTATGTTATTGACCATTGACAGGTATTTCAGAGAGGAGGTGAGGTGAACATTTTTTGACATAGTGAGTCCTTATGATCTGGAATTCATTGTCTAAAAGGATGGTAGGATTTAAAAATGAAAATTGGAGACATGAAGAGGAAAAAGTTACATAGCTATGGGATAAAAATAGGTGCGGTTATTCGAATATTTTGTCAAACAAACAGAACAGGCACTGTGGGGTGAATGGTTTCCTTCTGTATTGTATGATGCCATGAAAAACATATCTGAGCAGTTGTGATTTGCATCAGTTTAATAGTTGTCCTGAAATGTTACCACCGCAGTGAGATCAACTGAATTTGTTTTGTGTACACAGAAACGAAACAAGCTTTTTCAAGAGGTCCAAGTGACCCCAGACCACCTTTGCCTTTACCAGTTAATAAAGGGCGGCCAATTCCGCCAGCACCACAGGAACAGGTAGGGAAACACTACACTATATTAATGGTCATTCTGTTACATTTTTACATCTATTGTATCCACTATTTGTTCCAAATAGCAGCCGTTACCAGCCCTTTATCACCTGCTTCCAGCAGCTGGGTCACCTAAAAAATAATGGCCCAGATCTTATGGTAATCAGAGGGTCAGAGAATGGACATACCTTGAAAGACGCATATCAGGAGCTCTAGCAAGACCCAATGCACTGATGTGAAATATTTCCCAGGAAATTCTAAACATCTGATAAACAATTATCCTGCATTTGGAACCCTCTGTAAAGATCCTAGCTGCTACTCTCAATTTGAGCACAAGGCTTCAGAGGGTTCTGACTGACTTACCCAGATAGTTAGTCGTGAAATATAAGGGAGATTTAAGACTATTTTTAACTCCTGAGAGGCCATTCCAGTGACATGGCCTGACTCTCCACATAAACATGCACCCCTGGCTACTGCACCCAATGTAATGCCACTACCAGACCCTACCACTTCCACAGACCTGACCCTGCTTCAACCTTGGAGACCCCATTACCTATTTGCTACCTTATCCCCTTTACCATCTTCCATTCCACTCCCTAATTGGCTATCCTATGTCCTCGCTCATCTGGAACTTTTCCCCTTCACCCTCTCACCTACCACACTAACACCCTCACTCACTCACCTGTCTCTCCAACCTGGGCTCTATCCTCTCACTTGCCACTCTTACTTCCTATCCACCAGTCTATCCCTCATGCACCCACTACTCTGTCCCCTTCCTCACCCATTTACCACCCTACAATGCCCTTCCTCCCATCCCAGGGCAGTGAAAGGTGCTGTCAAAATTTAACTTCTTCCTTATTTTGTTAAGGAAGTATAAGATAAGTATATCTTCTGATAAACACAACCTGGCAGGGGAGGGTTTCACCCATGGCTTTAACTGGAAGATTTGATCAGTGTTCTGCAAATGCCTCATTTGCCAGTTATTGCTGCCAATGCCGTTTGAGTGGGCGCCACTAGCAATAGTTTCATCAGCAGTGGAGGAGGGAATGGCATTGCTTTCTCCTCCATTGTAAATGACAGTAGTTGCTGCTCACTTACTACATAGGGCACCATTTACATCTGGATCTACACACAGCATGCCACAACTCCATCCTGGGTGTAAGTCTGCAGCATTTAAATGCAGGGAAATAGACCAATAGACCACTTTACTGCTGTTATTGTGTCCTGAGTTGGTCTGTCTGATCATTTTTATAAACTCTCAGTCCCACTGTTAATAGCAAATTTCTCAGTCGGATTCTTGTGTTTCAGGATTTGTCCAGGGAATGGTATGTGAGTGACATTGGTCGATCAGAAGCTGAAGCAGCTCTTCGAAGCATTAATGAGGTAATGAGAGTTCCTGTTCCTTTAAGGAACACAAACTTCAGTCTTAACCATTACTATATATAAAAACACAAAGATCTGAGTCTTAACAGAAATCCTACCCGTTCTCTTCCAAACCAGTCACCATCCTGACTTAGAAGTATATTGCAGTTCCTTCAGTGTCACTGCACCAAAATCCTGGAATTACCTCCTTAACAGCATTGTGGTTTAACCTACAGCACATAGACTGGCAGTGGTTCAAGAAGGCAACTCACCACCACCTTCTCAAGGGCTACAAGAGACAGGCAGTAAAAATTTTGGCCCAGCCAGTGACACCCACATCCCATGAATGAATAACACAAAAGTGACTAAGAGTTATTTTCATCAAATTTAATGAAAGGCTTCTGTCTGAGGCCTAGTGTGTTTTCTCACACGATTGTTCCAAAGTCACCTTATTAACCATGTACTGATGTCATATGGTGCGACCCGCCCATCCCCCAAAAACCCTGCTTCAAAGAATGTGAGCCTGATTCTCTCGCTTGCTGTAATTGGAGGTATTCACCACTGCTGAAATATCCCTGGATCCCCAGTGCCATCTCTTTTTATATTTGTTCATTGGATGTGGACGTTGTTGGCTGGACCAGCATTTGGTGCTCATCCATAATTACAGAGGGCAGTTAGTAGTCATTCACATTGTCGTGGGTCTGGAGTCACATTGTGGCCAGACCATCAGACTTCCTTCCCTCAAGGACATTAATGAAACAGACTTTTTTTTATTACAATTGACAACAGTTTCATGGTTTCTTTTTAATTCCAGGTTTTTGTTGAATTCAGATTCCACCATCTGCCATGAAGGGATTCGAATCCAGAATCCCCAGGCATTACCTGGGTCTCTGGATTAATGGTCCAGCTATAATACCATTTAGGCCATCATCTCCCCTTTAAAAGACTGTGAACTTAATCAATTGCTGAGTTGTCCAGAGCTGTCCTACATGATTAGAGACATTTGCCAAGGACAAGGCAGATAAAGAGAAATTTGTACCCTGCTTTGTGGACAGAGACCTGGGGACTCTGATGGTCTGTGTGGTGCAGAAGAGGGACATCCTCCTTCCCCAGGATCAACAGAGAAGGCCATGATACTAAATCCTGCTAGCCCACCCAGGCCTATGTGTTCTCAATCATCCAGAGGAACATCCAGCAATGCAAAAAGAAGGTTAATGACCTTCTTAGCTCCACCAGGATAAATACCATCATCTTCTCTTTGCTCCCTCACACTACCGGTATCATCCCTACTGTACCCATCTCTCACTAAGATGAGAGTTTCAATTCACTCTTCTCTCACTACTCCTGACAACATTTCCCTCACTAGCTCTTTCAACACTGCTAAACCTGCATGGTATCTGTGCTACCTACGACACCTAATCACTTCCCTACCACCTACATCAGAACTAACAGCTGTGCCATCCACTTTCAATCCCTCCCTCTGTCTTATTGCAGGAGAAAACAGCCCACAACAGGGCAGAAAGAGCCAAGGTGGGTAATAGGATGACCTACATTTGGCTCCTAGCTCTCTGAGGAAGGGTCCTGAACTTGATCTACCATGCTGGGACCCACTGACTAAAGGGTGTCTTCCTGGATTTGACTGACGACTATTCCCCTAAGACTTGAGACATGGCTGTTTGGTTGAATGTGCAGTGTGTTTGCCGCTTATATAGTTGGCACATGGTGTAGTTATGACATTGACATAGCAAGGTACCGTACAGCAACATGTCTACCCAATGACTGACCACTAGTATGACAAGTTGCGTGGCTCTATGTCTGTATTAAAAGCCAAGGCAAGGTGGAGGTGCTATGAGCATCCAAGTAGGCTCAAAGTGAGTGAGCACTCAGAAAGCAGGCCCTGAGAAGCAGCCTGATCCAATCTGAGTTCAGTGCATGTTACTGCATTTATTAGAACAATAGGTGCTAGTGCATTCTAAAATGCAGCACGGAATTACAGAACCACACTGTAAGTGCCAGAGATGTGCGATGAGGGTGCATAGAGACTGGTATATGGCCAATGTCAACATACATGTATAGGGGGGTACGTATGTTCATTGCCCTTGGAGTGTGCCCTGAGATGGTGGTGCCAAGTGTCCAAGATAGAGGTCCAGAGGAGCAGGTGGTGAGCTGGAGTTATTGGTACCTGCTCAGACTTGCATGTCAGGAATTCTCAGCATCTAGTTTCAGTCCAGTGGGTGGGAGAATGGGACTATGCATGTTAATGATGTGAGGTTACGCAGCAATGAAGATGATAATTAGCAATCATCCAGCTTAAAAGGCCTTTCATTACTCACAAGAGAATCTTATTTCAACATCCAGGATTTGGTTGGAAAATATGATATTTTGGTCAAGAAGAGCCTCACTTGACATTTCACTTCATGTTTCCAAGTTTCTCACTATAGCCCACATGTGGTCACAGTCTCAAGATAGGGACCATTTAGGACTGAGATGAGGAAACATTTCTTCACTTAGAGGGTAGTAAACCTGTCAAATTCTCTCCCATAGAAGGCTCTGGAGGCCAAGACACTGAATATATTCACGAAAGAGATAGATAGATCTTTAGATTCTGAAGGCATCAAGGGGTATGGGGAGAAAGTGGGAATATGACATTGAGATCAGCCATGTTCATATTGAATGCAGATTGACTTGAAGGGCTGAATAGTTTTGATATTTCAATGTTTCACACAGATTAAAAATGAGAAGTGAGTCCAATAACAGATACAAGTTACAAGATATACAAGTTAGACCAGGATTGTTTGTTCTGAGTAGATAGTGGATTATTGATAGTTAAGCAGTCAATTTCGAGATTCTTGGCTTTGCAGATTAATACCAGAAGACATAGGAGCAGAAGTGGCATCATAATTGCCCCTTGTTTAAATTTAAAATAGTAATTCTGAATTATCAGACTTGCAACCTTAACTCTGCTTCTCTCTGCACAACTGCTGCCAAATCTGCTAAGTTTCTCCAGAATTCTGTATTTGTTTCAGATTTTGCAGTATTTTTGCCTCTAAGGGTGGCACGATGGCTCAGTGGTTAGCAATGGTGACTCATAGCACCAGGGACATGAGTTTGATTCCAGCCTCAGGCGAGTGTCTATGTGGAGTTTGCATATTCTCACTGTGTCTGTGTGGGTTTCCTCCAGGTGCTCTGGTTTCCTCCCACTCTCCAAAGATGCACATGTTAGGTGGATTGGCCATGCTAAATTGCCCATAGTGTTCAGGGATGCGTAGGCTAGATGGATTAGCCTTGGGAAAAATGCAGTGTTGGAGGGATAGGGTAGAGGTCCGGGTATGATGATCTTCGGAGGGGCTGTGTGGACTTGATGGGCCAAATGACCACTCTGTAGGGATTCTATGAATAAATTCAGCTGATTTGTCCATTAATCTCATTAGTCTGTGCAGATTGCTGTCCTTTTCCCTTGAATTGCAAAAGTGATTTAATTTCAGAAGTACTTCATTGGCTGTGAAGTGCATTGAGATATCCTAAGGTTGTGAATTATGCTCTAAAAATCCAACTGACTCATTCCAGACCAGCACCAGGGAGGATACCAGAGTAATGAATACCCTTTATCTTGTTCAAAAAAAGCGAATGTTCTGTTGCAGTTTACACTAGCTCAGTCTTGTGACATTATGCATGTCGTTCATGCACTCTGTTTTTCAGGATGGTACTTTCTTAGTGAGAGACAGCTCACGTAGAAACAATGAGCAGCCTTATGTCCTGATGGTACTGTTTGGATACAAAGTATACAACATTCCAATCCGTTATCAAGAGGCTACGGATGTGTTCTTGTTGGGAACGGGACTGAGAGGAAAGGAAGTGAGTTGCACAGTTTCTTTTGTTCTCAGCATGCTATTCAGTAATCTGATTAATTTTTAATCTTCATGACTACTAATGTGAGCCCTGCACATATTTCTTCATCAAATATCTACCTGATTCCCAATTGAAAGTCATAATTGAATCAACTTTGTCCTATTTCAAGTACATTCCAATTCATAACATCTCATTGTGTAAAACATTTTCCTCATCTCTTCACCGACAATTTGTGCCCCCAGTTACTGATCTTCCAGCTGCTGGAAATAGATTCTCCATGGCAAAGCTTCAGCCAGAGTTGACGAACCAATCAATCAGCACCCTGTGTCACTGTTATATAAATTGTTGTGATTGTTTGAAGTTTGGCATTCTTACAAACTGTCCTGATCAGTGTGAAACCAAAGCTGCAGCATCATGTTTCTCTTTTCAGTACTTTAAAAGAGATTCTGTCTATAAACTCCATTTAAAAATGCTCTCAGTTTTGAATATTTCGATTAAATCTTCGCCCTATCTTTCTCTGCAAACAACTACAGCTTTTCTTGATGAAGGGTTTCACCCAAAACATTGACTTTCCTGCTCCAGATGCTGTCTGACCTGCTGTGCTTTTCCAGCTCCTCATTTATTGACTACAACTTTTCCACTCTGGCAATATATCTGAAACCCCTCATCACCAGTACCATTTCTACAAATCTTTGCATCCTTTCCGAAGTGTGCCCAGAGAGGGAGACAGTAGTCCAATTGAGACCTAACAAGTGACTTATTAGGATTAAAGATTAAAACACAAGGCCACTCAAATCCAACTTAGTTTCCAAGTTTTTTTTTGTTACAATGCAGATGTAACAATCAAATGTTTTAATTCTTTCCACAGAACTTCAGGTCAGTGACAGAGATTATTGAGTACCACTCACAAACACCACTTCTACTGATTGATGGTAAAGATCCTAGCGGAGTGCACAGGAATCAATGTGTGCTAACATATCCAGCAGGCCGATAAATACTGCGACTTGCTTTAGATGGACCTGAATTACAGGCAACTTGAAGTACAGCCAAGCAGTGAACCTGTCAGCTCCTTTTATAGGGGAATCTGTATAGTCTCACTTGTGTGTCCCTTGATGTGCTCTGTATTATATTGTGTTCAAAATGTGACAAAGCCTTTCTTATTACTTTCCCAATGGCTGGTTAGCAGTATATTGATGATGGCATTCACCCCTTTTAAGATTAGATATTGGTCTCCAAACGGAAACTCCTAACAGGCCTGCTATCAGATTTCTCCCTTCAAACACACTGACCCTCCTCTCCTACTGAACACACTGACCCCCTTCCCATCAACACACTGAACACCCCCAACCAAACACACTGACCCCTCACACTGAACACACTGACCCCCGTGAACACACTAACCCCCACTACATACACTGACCCCCCCCCCCCAAAACACAATAACTCTCCTAAAGACACGGTACCCCACTCCGAACACACTGAACCCCCACCCCGAGCACTCTGATCCCACACCAAACATTCTGAGCAGCCCCCATTGAAATACAGTGAAGCCTCCTGAACACACCGTGCACATGCCGCCCCCCTGCCCCCCCCCCCCCCCCAGAAAACACTGTGCACCTCCTCTCCTGGAATACAACTGACCTCTCTGAACACACTGAGCACCCCTCTCCCCAAACACATTGCCCCCTTGAACACACTGCCCTTTTCCCCCAACTCCTGAACATACTTCTCTCTGGACAGCATGAACTGGGTTGGCAGGTAGTAGTTGGGAGTGTGACATCTACTTCATGAGCATATAAACCACAGCAGATAGGCTAAGACAACATTTACCTGGCTGAATGCTTACCTTTAACATTTGCCTTGTCATTTTATTGTCAAAAGTCCAACCGTGCAGATCTCACTTTTATAAATCAGGGTTAACAAGAATGTCGCAATAAATAGAGCCTCTCAGCATCTCAATACCAAACACAAAGGCATTTCAGCACAACTAGTTTCATTTATTGTGATGGATAGTAAAAAATCATTTCCAATTTACACATTGCACTATAAAAGAATATTGCTTCAATTATCAATGTGCAGAATGTCATAGGGCAAACTGAGGGTCAACTCTAGGTCGCTGGGGTCGGCCTGAAATACAGATTACAAACAGACATTTGATAAAACCTGTCACAATGGCTCACATTTCAATTCATCAAACAACAAACGTGTTTTTTAAAACTTGCAAAACAATAATTGTATCAACCTTTCTCCCCTGATGTTATAATAATTGCAGTTGTCTATTATTCAGAATATTACACAAGGTTGGACTGCTAGATCATTGTTGTATACAAAATAATTCTGAGAATTATAATAAAGAACAATTTACTGTATTTCTGTTGCCCTATGGATTTCCTCAATATTGATATTCTATGAAGCTACAAAAACAGGACAATGAGGTAAATTAATTCTTGATCTTCACTGTCCCAGACTGGCTGAGGTTACCACAAAGGACTCTCCTTCTCAGCCTGTCCCCTCATCTGTGGCATGGTGACCTCCAGGTTAAACCATTACCAATGATCTCGCTCTCTATAAGAGAGCAGCGCTATAGTCTGGTAGGACAATTGCAACCTTACCTTTACAATACAAGAATGCTATAATTTATAACGTTCATATAAAACATGGTATAGTTTTGTTTCTTAGGCACCTTTTTTTTTCAAATTCATTGATGGGATGTGGGTGTTGTTGGCTGGGTCAGTGTTTATTTCCCATCTCTAGTTGCCCTTGAGAAGGTGAGGTCAGTTCCCTCCCACAGTAGTCCATGTGCTATAAGTAGATCTACAATGCCATTAGTGAGGGTATTCCAGAATTTTGACCCAGAGACACTCAAGGAATAGGAATATATTTCAAGTATAGATGGTGAGGGGCTTAGAGGGGAGATTGCAGCTGGTGGTGTTCCCATGTATCTACTGCCCTTGTCCTTCTAGATGGTAGAAATTATGGGTTTGGAAGGTGCTGTCCAAGGAGCCTTGGTGAATTTCTGCAGTGCATCTTGAAGATGACACATACTGCTCCCATTGAATGCTAACAGTAAACGGAGTGGATGAGGCGCCAGTTGAAGGGGCTGCTATGTCCTGAATGGTGTTAAGTTTCTTGAGTATTGTTGGAGCTGCACTCATCCAGGCAACTGGGGACTATTCCGTCACACTCCTGACTAATGTCTTATAGATTGCAGCCAGACTTTGGGGAGTCAGGCAGTGAGTTCCTCCTGTAGTATCCATAGCCTCTGACCTGCTCTTCTAGCCACAACATTTATATGACTAGTCCAGTTCAATTTCTGGTCAGTGGCAATCCCCAGGATGGTAATAGAGGATGATTCAGTGATTGCAATACCACTGAACATTGATGGATGATGGTTAGATTTTCTGTTTTTGGAGGTGATCATTGTTGACACTTGTGTGCACAAATGTTACTTGGCCATTTAGGAGATGAAGGTTTTGCTGCATGTGAACATGGACTGCTTCAATATCTGAGGATTTGTGAATGGCGCTGAAAATTGGGTGTAGTCATCAGCAGACATCTCCTAATAATGGAGGGAAGGTCATTGATGAAGCAGCTGAAGATGGTTGGGCCTAGGACACTACTCTGAGAAAATCCTACAGATATTACTGACCTCCAACAACTACAACTATCTTCCGATGTACTGGGAACGACAGGAGTGATTCGTGACAATTCTGTTAAATGCAACTTGGCAGCTTCAAAGTACTCTGGAGGAGCTTACCTAGACTCATCTGAATAGGGATGCAGACTTGTCCTGATGGACTGCTTGTTGCACAGCCTGGCCATCTTGCTGCCTTTACCAGCATCTGTCATGTGAGAAACTGAAAAACATTAAGTCAAAGAAGATGAGGATTGCAAGTGTGGAGCAGATCATGACATTGAGAAACCAGGAAGGAAGATTTCAGAGTGGACAGCCACTTCCAACCAGATTATTCTTGAGTAACGCTGGTCACCTCCCCATTCACCAGCTGTTCCAGACTTCTGACTTACCTTCTATCATTGACAATCACATTGTGCTAATAATAATAATGTAACAATATAAACCACCTGAGAATGCATATTCCAGTCATATAAATTAAATGATTACATAATGTATACAAAGATCACTTCTCCATGTCAATTTTGTCTGTGGTTTTGCTTATTTTAGTATCTCTATGCATTTTCTGTTTTTATTTAAGGTTTACAGATTCTATCTAAAACTGTGATTATAGGGGTAGGAGGTTTTTGCTTGTAATATGCAATTCTGTAAATAAATAAAGAAGTGTAAAAAGATTAATTCAAATGTGTTGCTTCCCTAGCTGGTTTTCTGGAATAAACAAGGCTTTAGTAACCTACTGATTGATTGCTGGAATGTCATGATATCCTTTAACAAAGTCCTTTGAACAGAGATAACTAGAGCCTTGTTGCAGTACCATGTACCATCATCCATATGAATATGGCCACAATGCACCTGTCCCTTTTATACAGTAACATGAGCCATATGATGTCAGTTCCACTCATGATGAGTAAAGTTAATGAACAGCACAGGCAGTATTGGCTGCGAGCAGTAATCATTTGGAAAAGAAAACAGCAGAAATGTCACTGAGCTAATCATGACTATTTTCAGAGACAATCCAAATTCTCTGCTGTGCTTGACAGTACAATATTAACTTCCTGTTGAAGTAAATTGAAAAATATGGTAAAGAATCATCTCCAAGATACTTTAGATGTGTCTGGTTGTGGTTATGGGATCCCACATCCCCTGTGGGCTCGAATTGTACAGTAGACATTTACTATATAATTCTACAAAACACCACCCTCTTGTGTAATATTCCAAACCAGATTAGATCACAGAGAGAGAAGTATTGAATGAGTGTTTTGATGTAGGGTCAACATTACCATTTTATTTATACATAGTAAAATTATATTTTTATGATCCCAGCTAATGGTAATACCGGAAACATCAGAAGCCAGAATGGAACCAGGCAGGTCAGAAGTTTAATTTCGGCCAATTTACATGAAGCCAAAAATGTCTTTTAACAAAAGAACACAAGGTTATTGCACAAACATAATAAAAAGCTAGATATATGTAAGATACTTTACAAAGATCTTTACAAACAACAACAAAAAGTTTCATAAAACAAAGAACTGCAGATGCTGGATATCTGAAACAAAAACAGAAATTGCTGGCAAAACTCAGCAGGTTTGGCAGCAGCTTTAGGAAGAAAGCGGAGTTTTGAGTTACCTGTCAATTTCGCTGACTCTTCATCAGTAGTAAAAGTTTCAACCTGCTTCACACCAATATCTTCTAAAGTTTCTCAATCCCAGAGAAATATCACTTCTCTCTCAACTCTTTCATTTCTTCCCTAACATGACTCTTTCCAGTGATCCTTCTTGAACTGGTGGCCTAACCTCTAAGCTTAGAGACTTAACAAACTAAAAGCCTTCTTCTAGGGTAGCTTCTTCTGAGCTGAAAACTTATCTTCTAACTTGAACTCCTAATTCTTCTCAACTGAAGTCAAACTAAAACTACTGACCTTTGGTCTGTTTTCTCTCTGTCATAAACTTACGAGTATAGACATTCCATTAATTAACAAGACAAATATCCTGCTAGGCACTTTACTGAATCACATTTTTTGGAAATGATGTGTTTATTCCAAGTGACTTTCTGGCCTTTTAAGAATACAGTTACTATCATGAAATCATCTGCCTTTGTTTGAAAAAAAAATGAAATTTCCAAATGATATTAACCTTTAAAATATCTTTATCAATAATGTAGGTTAAGACTCCACCCCTGCTTCAAGGTTGTTGGAGAAAACCATCTCCTAGTTGTTAATGTGAGCTTGCATCAATCAAGTGATCTCAATCATGAATATGCATTGTCACATCAACCCTTTACTCTGCAGTTTTTTTTATTTCAGCTCCATCATCCACTTTGGAGCCAGTTCTTTTAGGATGAATTAGAAATTCTTTCATATAGATTTTTTTAGAAACTTCCTGAAATTATGGTATCAATCATTGGGCTCACTGGGTAAAACCCTTGTCTCTAGACAAGGGTTGGGTCTGGGTGAGATGCTCTGAGGGTTGGTGTGAATCGTTGAGCCAAAGGGCCTGTTTCCCACTGTAGGGATTTTATGAACTATGATCTATGATCTATGAGTGTCAATGCTGTAGATTAAAGAAGTCCCGCTCTAGAGACTAAAGCACATGATTCAGGCTGGTGCTCCACAGCAGCACAGATGGTCAGGCTACTCTGTCAGAAATAGTCTTTCAATGAAATGTTAAACTGAAGTTCCATCTGTCCTCACAAGTAGACCTAAAAGATCACTTCAAATTATTTAAAAGAAGAGCAAGAGGGTTCTCCTGGATCAATATTTACTCCTTCACCATCACAACAAAAACAGCTTACGTGTATTTAACATATTGCTTCTGGTACAAGTTAGCTGTGTGCACATTGGCTGCCTTGTTTACTACATCACAACATTCTCTGCACCTCAAATAACATTTCATTGGCTGTTAGGTACTCTGGGATATCGTGTGATGATGGGGAGGTGCTATATAAATGGAACATTCCTGTGTCTGTGCATTAATGATGTGATTGTTATTAGTAGTCATAGCTCAGATGGCTAAATGTATAGGATTTAAATTATATTGATAGTATTAGTTCAGTTCCTCTACTAGCTAGAGATTGCTTTATAAGGTGCTTGGTTCTGAAAATGTTCACATTAAGGAGTGCATTAACCCAATGTCACATGAATGTTGGTGGGAAGAACAGCTCTGGATCTCAAAGGAAGCAGACCTACCATTCACTTGGAGACAATATGGTCTGTAGACACTGGAAGCCAGAGTCAATAGATGTGAAGCTGGCAAAGCACAGCAGATCAGAAAGCACTGGAGGAGTAGGAAAGCCAATGTTTTGGGCTGAAACCCTTTGTCAGGACTGGAGAGGGTGAGGGGGGTGAGAGAAGTAAATAGAGGGAGGAGAGTGGGGCTGGAGCAAGGTTAGGTGAGATGGTGATAAGTGGATGCTAGTAGTAGGTTATTGTGATTGGTCAGTGGGAAAGGTGGAGCGGATACAAGTAGGAAGATGGACAGGATGGGTCAGGTCAGGGAGATGAGGAGGAGTAGGAGGGCTGGACATGGGATAAGGCTATGGGTGGGGGGGATTTTGAAGCTGGTGAAGTCAATATTGAGGCCTTTAGGCTGTAAGCACCCAAGGTGAAATAACAGGTGTTGTTGCTCCAGTTTATGTTTAGCCTCACTCTGACAGTGGAGGAGGCCAAGGATGGACATGTTGCCAGGGGAGTGGGATGGGAGGTTAAAGTGGATGGCATCTGGAAGGTCAAGTTGGTTG